CTACCTCACAGGGTTGTTGTTGTGAGGTTAAGCTGAAGAGTGGTAGGAGGAGAATGATGTAAGCCACTTTGAGCTCTTAAAAAAGTGGGATATATAAATCTAATAAACAAATAAGGAAGATAGAGGCAACTTTTGCATCTGCGCTGCTCCCACCAAGCACAGGATGTCGATAGACTCATTCCAGATTAGATTTCATCCTTAATCAAGTTTTATTTATGCTGCCTAGAATGCTTTTTTTTTTTTTTGCTAGAAAGGGAGGGTGTGAATGAAATCAATCAATTAATAATTTACAAAGGTATTGAGTATACATTATTGCTTACCACTGCAGAATCTGTTTGGATGTGCACTAGTACAGTCATACCATAGATCGATAAAATTAAATTAATAGGGACGCAGCAGTACGGAATTTTCACTGCAAAGTGGAGCAAAGATGGGAGAAGCGAAACTCAGAAAAGAAGAAGAACAGATGGAATGCAAGAGGCGAGACGGAGGGGCCGGGCCCTTTCAGCCTTGCTAGGAGGGGACTCCGAGGGGACCCGTTAGTGGCGCACTGGCCGTGAGGGGGTGCCACGCAGAGGCAGGTCATGGCCCTTTTCCCCCTACAGTGGAGGCAGGATGCCAAGCTCGGGGGACCAAGATTTAGGGTGGATGCCAGGAAGTACTTCCTGCCGGTTAGGACCCCGAGGGGCGGAATGGGCTTCCCCGGGAGGTGGCGGAGGCCCCACCGGTGCGGGTGTTCAAGCACAGGCTGGACATGCACATGGTGGGCATGTCCTGAGTGGAGCCGGCTGGAGCCGGGGGTCAGACTAGATGGCCCAGGAGACCCCTTCTGACTCACTCTGTTTCTATGTTTCTAAAACACAAACCAATCAATTTTTTCACCTTTACTCTTGAGTAAGTGTCCTCATTGGCCAGCATCTTCACTTGCTAATGCAAAGAAGGAAGGTGGGGTGTGGGGAAACGTTGGCTTAATTATACAAACCGTTCTGCTAATTCCAACAAAATGTACAGTGATGAGTCAAAATAAAATCTATATTCATTTCTGCTATCTGCAGTTTGAACAGGGAACTTTATGTGCACTTACAGATCATATGCTTCTGCAATAATAATTCTGATCTGGCTTTGCAAACATCACCTACCTGCTTTCACAAATGCTAGTTCTGAGCATTGGATGCCGCCCAAGTGGGATTCCCTGGCTCGTTGGAGCACCAGCCTCAGGATCTGCCTTTTCTGGCCCAACGGAAGCACCACGAGTCCCGCCTTTAAGCACTCGCGGATCCACATGCAGGGACAGGGCTGGGAATCTGGCTACAGAGAAGAGGCCGGATGGGTTTTACAGTGGGATGAACAATGAAGGGCGCAAGGAGATGGTCCTTCGATGCCTCGCCCCTAAAGGGGGAGCGTCATTATATGCCTGGTTACGAAACGAATTGGTGTTCCTGACATTTCACTCATGAAAAATGCTTTAATTCTTTTCTAACTTAGTGCACTGGAATGACTTTACTAGGCGATCAATATTTATCTTCTCATGGTAGATCTATTCACGCAAGGATTTAAAACCTCCAGTCAAAATCAACAGGAAGGACAAGCGAAGGAGGTTAATTTAATTTGGCTAATTTAATTTGCACTTTGTGGTTGATTTATCTATTTATTTAAAGTTTTCTATGTTGTCATTCATTTTGGTTTTAATTATTTAGTTGTACTTGGTTTGCATTTTGAGCAAGATCCTTTGTTATCTTTTATTCTGTATCATCTTATATAACATTCTATTAATTTTATTGTTTTCATCTATTTTACTGATTGCATTTTATAGACTGGTTGAGCATCTTGTAAACCACCCAGAGAACCCTCAGGATATGGGACAGCATAGAAGCATAGCAAAATAAATGAATAAATCGGTCCCAATCTCGTGCAAGGTATCAGGGCACCCAACTCTCTCTCTCCTTCCCATGTCAACCCAAGGAAGCTGCTCAGGTTCTGCATTGGAGCCTGATGTCATGATGGACTGGATGAGAGCAAGGAAATCAGAACTGAACCCAGGCAAGGCAGCAGTGCCTTGGAAAGAAAATAGGGATTTGACCTGTCCTTGAGGGCAATACGCACACACATGCCCACAGAGACTTGGGCTTGCTTTGCCTGCCCTCCTGGACTCAGTCGGTCCTAACCCAGGATGTCCAGTTCTTGGCAGTGGCCAGACAAGCATTTGCACAGCTGACGCCTCGGTGTCAGCTCTGCCTGGTCGTGGGAAAGCGGATCTGGCCAGCCGTCCCTGCACCCCCTGTGCGCTGCCCCCGCAAACTCCTCAGGAACCTCGGCTGCAGTTGTGCTCAGATGCTCGCTGGGCCCGGTTACAGCGAGCACGTCACCCTCGCGTTACTCCGGTTCACCAGCTCCCACTCTGTTCCCAGGCAGAATTCAACATGCTGATCATCACCTGCAGAGCCCTACATTACCTGGGAGACCACCTGTTCCAGATAAGCTTGCTTGGTTCTCCAGAACATCTGGAAAGGCCCTTCTAGGACTGCTAGCGTCAGAGGCATGGTTGGTGGTTGCGTAAGAGAGGATTTTTCTGTCTCCACTTCCAGGCTCTAAAACGCCCTGGAAGGCGGCTCTGTGCCCGCTCCCATTCTGCCGCCCTTCGGCCCAGCATCCAGGGACTGCTGTCTTCAAGGCGGCCCTTGGCCTGTAAGGAGGTCTGTGAGATTGGATGCTGTCCGTACTTTTAATTCTGCCGTCGTTACCCTTTCATTGCATCATAATGCATGTTATTGTTCGAATCCAGTTTAATTAGGCTTCTAAGTGCCACTTTTTGGTGGAAAGGTGGAGTAGAAATCAAAACAGACTGCGTGAGCATCACCACGCAGGAGCAATGCCCAGCTTGGCTTTGGCAACAGATTGTTGTTTATAGCCCACTGCTAGACTGAGAAATAACAATCAGTTTCCAGGCAGTCCATTTTTAATCCACATATTTGCGAGGGCTACTTTCACCTTGGGCCAGATTAGAGCAAACGCCCTGGAGCATCATCAGATGCCAGACCAGCTGGCTGAAGCGATTTATCCTGCCAAGCAGGCAACAATTCCCTTCCCTGAATTACCTCCTGCAGTAAATTAAACTAACGATATTTGTGCAATAACTCAGGTGCTCCAGTGTAAGGGAGACAGAGGGAGAGAAAGAGACCATTATCTAGCAATTCTGTAAAGGTTACACCAGAGGTCTGGGGAAGAAAGGGAAATAAAAAGATCCGTGGGAGGGCAGAGCATGCACATGGGTTAATTACAGCTGCAGTCCCCAGAGTCCCTTCCTTGGGAATGAGTTCTACTGCATCCAACAGGACTGCCTTTGAGCCCACGTGCAAGGCATCTGCAGGCATCGGGTTGCTTGGGGGTGCTTTGGCATTAGAAGGCACCATCCTGAGCGTTGTCTCTCTCTGTGAGTCCTGCTCCCAGGTGGGAAGTATGTCTGGAAGCAAGAGCAGAGGAGGTTTCTTCAACTGGGCCATCCTTGACTGGCTCTTCGCTGGAGCAGCACAGAGACAACCTTGCCTGGCTTCTAACCACTTAGACCTTTCCGTGGGGGCTGATCTATTCCCATCTGCTCCTGGGTGAAATCTGACGCACTCAGATCTCTGCTAAAGTTCTGACTCCTCATTCCGCCTACAACTGATGAGACGCTCTTTCCCACAACTGGAGCAATGCACGGCTTGGAACAGTGTGGTTGTCCCAATAAACTTACGATTATTGAGACACACACCCCATATTAAGAGGGGAAGCCCAGGCTACATGTGCACCAGAAAATTTAGCTCCTGAGTTGAAGAAACCTCCTCTGCTGTTGCTTTCAGGCATACTTCCCACCTGGGAGCAGGGTCTCATAGAGAGAGACAAGAGTTTGGCTTTCTTTAGGCTGCTTGGCTCCATCTCTGCACTAGGTGAGGTTCTCTCTCTTCCCAATGCCTGACTTGTTTTAGCTGTCTCAAGCTGTGATGTTGTGGGGAATGCTGCTAAATTCTAGCGTGCTCACGACCAAAAGCAGCACACACAAACCTCCTCATGATACAGGGAAGCCGTTGCCTGTGATTTTTCTAGGCAACTGAGGAAGGTGGAAGCCACATGCCACATTTCTGTGGCCAAATACTCTCCATGACCTATTAAGTCCAAAGAATCTTCTTGAGAGGATAACGGAGGTTTCAGGGTCCAGGTCTGCACCAGTCTTCAGGCTTGCCTCGGGCTTAGTTCTGAGTATTGAAAATGTTCACCAATTATCAGGCAGATACTCTCATTTGCCTTGTCCTGGAAGCCAAGTTCAATATGGGCCAACACTCTAATTTGCACAAACTTGCACAACAGGCTAGATTAACTCTGCATTAATGTATGAAAGAAAACTGGGCAAATGTTGGGAGGTTAATGCAAATCTGAGCCTCGTTTGATGTGTTTATGTTTCCTGCTCATGCCAAATGGGAAAGGAGCAGGAGGGACGCAGTGAGACGATGCCAAGAGACTCCCGGCCATCACGACGTTATGCATCCCTGGAACCAAATCCTAATGGATTGCACGGGAGCGGAAGTGTGTGTGTGCTTGAATACCACGCCAAATGGAATGGACCGTTCACACAAATCATTCCACAGCCTGGATAGGACAATGTCAGTGGGGTGGGAAATGACGCATGATGAGCCCCACGTGCGAGTTCAATGGGATTTACTCCTAAGGAAGCAGGTGCCTAAATCAGCAGAATGAAGCCATGAAATAAAGGTGGGGCGGGAATTACTAGATCAGCTCCTTATTCTCATTCTTCTTCTCTTCTCCTCCTCCTCCTTATGCTTCTCTCAACCGGATCAGTGCAATTAGGCCCGTAAGATTTTGATCCCATTTCTGCTTCGCTCATTTTTGTTCTACTTTCGCTTTGGTAGATTGCTATTTTCCTTCCCCCCCCCACCCCCCCGCCCCGCTGCCCCATTAATGACTATAAGACCTGATGCATGAAACTGTCTTCTGTTCTACGCCAGACTTCAGGTGAAGGTGAGACTTTTACAAATATTATGAGCTTCTTTCACAGATGCAGCGCTTTAATGGCAGGCAGCCCTTGGGCCACCAATTAAGCATCGTGCATAAAATGGCACTTTTGAAACAGAACTGGAACGGGAACCGCTGCAGCGTCACATGCTGCGTTAAGAGCAGCTGTGGTGGAAGCTGAAGAGCCGGATGGCACAGGGACAACTACTATGCCAAGGTCTTTCTGCCAAATGATGCACTTAAACATTGGCCCACATGGTCACTCAAAAACAAAACCAGGAAGTGCTTTGCCCCGTTTTCCTCTTTTTTCATTAATATGGCAATGAATAGGTAGATTAATAAACCCCTATAACATGAGGGGATACAAGGTTTAACATGTCATAAAAATTCCATTTATTATAGATCATTTTAACAACTTTTTTCATTACTTTGACCTATGACAAAAAAGTTAATTTGGTAGACAATGCCGTTTCACAACCACCTTTAAAATATCCTCAAATTCTAGAAGGATCTACTGATTTTCACTGCTGAAAAGTCCAAGGGACTTGGTTACTAGTGAGCACCAAGAAGATGGGTCAGCCATGATGGGGCAGAACAGACCAGAGTCTCAGGAGTCCAAGCCCAGGGAATCCAATGGATTTCCACTCCCACGATGGGCTCCTCCACATCTGGAAACTCCCTCCCTCCACCACCCCCACCCTTGCCAGGGACCGGAAGGAAACGAGGATGTCGCATCATCCATTCCAGTTCCACCTGGCTGGAATAACCCTGGCAGGGCTTGGATATGGTTGTTGGACTGCTTGGACTCTAACAGTGGGACCTGGTGAGAAAATGCATCCACGGACACACCGAAACATACCAATATTTTAAATAAGTACGGCTGCAGATTAAAGTGGAAACAGATTGGAATAGACGTATGGACAATGAGAAAGCGCCACAGCCCAAAAGATAGATCTAGGCACCCCAACCCTACTTCTTTTGAGTTCCAGTTTAGCTAGAAAAATCTCTTCCACCCATTCGAGAATCGGAGTAGCATACTTTGGCGCAACTTTCAGTTCTTTTATTTGCATCCCTCCCTCTCTCTCACACTCATGCACACACATACATCCCAGCTGCGTGTTTGCACTGATAAAATATTGCACGCTTGCACATGCATTCACGCAGAGAGAATAATTTATTTATTTATCCGTGCGCGTATTTATAGGCTGCTTATAACTGCCGAGGCCTTCCTAGGCGACTTACGTGGACGCACATAATCGTGTTTCGACTGTGCAGATCATGGCATGTAGGTTTTTTCTGCACGGCATTTTCCGGAGGTTACCCCATGGCTGCAAAACCTCATCCAGAAAGAACCTGGATTCGGGCAGACCTGCATGCGCCTGCGCGGCGTTTGCGCAGGATCTCACGGATGTGCGCACGGCTACTGCTGGAGCAGTGCGAGGAAAGCCCCTGAGGCCCTGTGGGCTGGCGACAGGGTTTGCCTGTGTACTGGTGGCAACGGTAGCACAAACGCCTCCCACAGTGACTTGCTGAAGTGAAGATAAGGCAGCCTCTTCTCACGGGGTTACAGCCTAGAAGATAATGGCACAAGAGGGAAGAGGACTGGGGAAAGGAGGAAACCTCCCTTCTCAGTTCATTCATTTTCTGATGTATCATCGAATTGCTTATCGTATTTATTTAATTTTATTATTACTATTACTGGTTATTTATTATTGTTAATACCAATAAAAATTTCATTAATATTTATTAATACGATGATGGCGATTATGATGGTGGTGGTGATTTTACTGATTTTAGTGTTACTACTGTTTTATTGTATTGTTGTTCTTATTGTGGTTCTGACTGTATGTAAGCCCCCCAAACAGCGTATGGCTAAACAGGCAGCATATAAATCAAATAAATGATTAAATCCTGATCAAAACTGAATGAAGCAAATTTCTCACACATCCCTAGTTGTAGTTTCCACTGCTGCCCCCACCAATCCAAAAACAGCGAGAAAAAAAGAACAGATAATTGAGAAGTCCAAAAATCCAGAGCAAAATGGGGGTGAGAAGTTTGGAAATGTCCCCACATTTGGGTGGGGAGGGCTGAAGTAGTGATTGCCCAGCACCTCCCAGATAAGCCCCACTGGAACCTGTGGTGCCCTGGCAAACGGCACCTGCTCCCTCCACCTCTAGGACCAGAGGGGTCGCAGCTGGATGGGACGGTGGGCGGATTTGCAGCCGGGCCGCCCTGTTGCGGATTGACCCCCCTCGCATCCGAAGAGTGGAAAGGAGGGTGGGATGCGCAGCGCTGCCAGTCGCTCGCGTTTGAATCAGCTGCCTGATTCCACTGGTTACAATTAAGGAATATTTTGCACATTCTGTTTGTAATTTTGATAAATTATAGAGTTTTTTCTGGGAGGATTAAAAATAGAAGCAGTTATTTTCATAAGAAAGCTAGCAAGAGAAAGGGGGTGGGCGGAAGCCCCCAACACTGCCTGCATGAATGAATCATTCTTGTCCAAGTCAAAATCGAGGGGAGGAAAGGAAGATGCTGGTCTCATCATTTCACAGCGATCTTCCCCGTGTCCAAAATGATGCTTGGTGTGGAGAAAGTGGACACAGAGAGTTTTCTCTTCCTCTCACTCTCCCTTCCCAAGAAAATTTGCTAGCCCATTTTTGTGCAGAAGGCAACTGCTATTTACATTTTGCGGGTCAGGGATGGAGGTCTGGGGTTAACTGAGTGAGAGTGTGGCTGAGATGTACTGAGTCTGGACCTCAAAGCTTGGTTCCCAAAGTTCTGCAGCATGGATTCCCCAGTGTGATATCTGCAGGCATCACAGAGTCCCTCGGCAGGCACCAGTTTTGCTTTTGTAAAAAACTTTTTAACAGATTAGTATGAATTGCATAAAACCTCCTGGCCATTATACATCAGCTGCAACACGTGTGAACCAACAATGCCACCCTGTTGAAAAGTACGCCAGATCTCCAAATTTTGAAAGCATTGTAAGTTTCTCAGTGCATTGCATTACGGGAGCTACGTGGTGTGACAGCATCCTTTCAGCTGTCAAAAAGGACTCCCTTCACCTGGCCATTTGTTAATGTCCCGAAACAGGGAATTGATATAGGAGGGAGTGTCCATTAGCAAATATTAAAGACAGTTCCAGTTCAAAAAGAAGCAGCTACTGGCCACTGCAAAAACCTGTGTGTAAACCTCGTTGAATTGCACTACCAGTGATTAGCCATAAATTTTCTCTTATTAAAGAGAGTCCTTCACACTTAAAGTTTTTTGTGCTGAATGACAAGCAGCTTAAGATGTAACGGGGAGACTCCAGAGCTGCAGCACACGGATCCAGCATGTTGTGCTTGCATGCATGGGAGTTTTGCCAATTCCTGGAAGGGCCGGGGTCCGAAGTGTGGAGACCCCTGATCTGCAGCCCTTGCTTGGATGGCAGATATTTATTTATTTATAAAATGTGTATGCCATCCAATTACTCGCATCTCTGGACGGCTTGCAACATAGATAAATGGACAACCCCCTCTGGCTGCACGTTAATAAAATGCAACACTGCAGATGCAGGGTGTGCTGATTTGGTTCCTCTCGGTGGCACAATTAGCCTCCAGAGAAGGAAATGGGTTTTTCCTTCCAACATTTTGTCGTCTCCTTTGCTCTCCCAAATGATCTGCACATCAAGAGAACCTCACCAGGGCTGCCAACAGTTCAGTGCAAGTTGCAACACATTCTTGCCTGTGAAAATTACAAAGGCAACTTTGCTCTTCCTCTGATGTGTTTCATCTCGGGTTCCCAAGGCTCCTTATAAACGTTAACAAATTAAACCTCTGGCGTTAATTAGCCAAGTTCGACTATATTAGAAAAAGGTTCCGCAGAATGCTACCGTCACATTGGCCTCCAGGCAACACAGTTCGTCCCCAACAAACAAGTCTGATGGTGCTTTGTTGTTGGCTTTTGGGGGGGTTTTTTTGCCCTAAGCAAATAGGAAATTTGGACTCCCCCATCCCAATGAGTTGTGTGCCCATTCTGTCTTGCCTGTCTCCCTTTCCTCCTCGAAGTCTTTCCAGTCAAGACTGTGAGAATAGAACCATCTTTTATGTTCATTCCTGGAAGCTTTGGCCTTCCTTGAGTTGGTCTTTGAGTTCTAGTCCACTTTTTCAGTGGTCTAGTTTAATAAGGAATCCTTCCCTTCCCTTCCCTTCCCTTCCCTTCCCTTCCCTTCCCTTCCCTTCCCGAAGTGGGTATCTGTCATACTCCAACACTTTTGGCTTTCACTCCCATGTATACCCACCTCCAAATTAATTGGGAATGCTTTAATTATTTAATTTAATTTAATTATTGTGGCTTTACTATCAATATGCATAAAGGGTGTCACTTTGCAAAATATCTAAGCAAGCATCCATGCAAACACAAGACAACTAAACGGCTAGTCAAATCCATAGCTAAAATTAGGCCTATGGGAATATTTGCAGGAAGAAGTGCTTCCTAGACACCAGAAACCTGATATGGTTGGGGCACGCTCTATGGCCATTAAGAGAACCATAGAATCCTAGAAGAGCAAAACTGGAAGGGGCCACGAAGGCCATTGGGTCCAACCCGCTGCTGTTGCAGGACACCAGGTTACACCATCCCCCTCAGAGGGCTGCCCAGTTTCCCCTTGAAGGCCTCCAGTGTGGGAGAGCCCCCACCCCTCCAGGCAGCTGGCCCCACTGCCGTGTTGCTCTGGCAGTGAGGAGGCTTTTCCTGGTGTCCAGCCTGAAGGTCCCATAAAGCTCGGTTCTAAGCAATCACCAGGAACATCTGAGGTGCATGTGCCGCTGAAGACAGAGAGTGAGCTGGGCCAAGAGGAAGGCCCCCAGCGGAAGGCCCACGGCACGCTGAGCAACCGGCAGCCTTCTTCCCCACCACAGGCTCCACAAAGGCAGGCTGTGGACCTGCCGGAGGAATTCCACTCGCGTGGTGTTTGAGTGGGGCTGGATTCTTGGCACGGGGTGTCACACGGCCATGGCAAATTGGACTGGAGGCCGGAGAGCTGAGCCCTGGGAATCCAGTGGATCCCCACCTGCAAGGAAGATTCCTCACACCTCCCGTTTAGCCTGAGGACCAAGCAATCGCTGCCCAAGGGTGGCAGCAGCCAGTGCACCACCAACAGCCAAAAAATCCTCTCCTAGCCGCCGAGGTCACACAGGCAAACACGGCGCTTGGAGCAACCCAGACTACGCGCCTCTGCAAATGCACCCGGTACAGGCACGATCTCCGAGGCTGGGAACCGCTCCCCTGCCGGCCGCCCCTTGCCTGGGTATGCAGAGCCTCAGGAAACAAGCAGGAATGCTGGAAGGGAAAGGGAAAGCAAGTTTCCCTAGGACGCCCGGGCGTGAGCCAGCCCCCGCATGCACCGGACAGCCTCCCAGGCACTGATACGCGTCACGGAGCATAACAGAGAAGCATAATGAAGCAAGGAGCGATTTTCCTAGTTATGCATTCCACACTATTCCTTTATCACAGTCCTTGCCACCGATGGCATCCTTTGCGCTAAAATTAAATGCTTCCATTATCTCAACAGTAGAGATTATGAGCTTACAATGGAAGATGCAGCTTCTTGTCTCTGCTCTCTGCTTCTTCTACACTGTCCTAAGTCCATGTCATTCTAGCCTAACTCCGTATCTCTCAATGATTCCCAACAGATACAACCTCGGGTTGTCAGTCCTCATGCAGCCACCTCTGCATCCAAGCCCCAGTCCAGGACTTGCAACCAAAGAACAGCGTTGGGACCCATCGCCATGCTCCAAATTCCCCATGAGGACACTCAGTGCTAGGAGAGAGGTGCTTAAATAGCCTGGCAATGGTGACCCACGCTCTGGTAACTTCCCAACTGGATTATTGTATTGTGCTCTATGTGGGGCTGCCCTTAAAGATAGTCCGGATACTTCAATTGGTCCAGAATGGAGCTGCCAGGTTATTAATAGGGACCGGCAGATACGCCCATATTACTCCAGTCCTCTATCGCTTACACTGGCTGCCAACTGAAGTCCAGGCCCAATTTAAGGTGTTGGTAATAACCTACAAGGCCCTAAACGACTTGGGTCCTGGATACTGAAGGAGCACCTTCTTCCTTATGTGCCGGCCCACCCCTTGAGATGGGAGGCAGAGGCCCTTGTCTGGGAGCCCTCCTTGAAAGAGGTCAGGAGGGTGGTTACATGGAGCAGGGCCTTCTCTGTGGTGGCACCCTGAATCTGGAGTGCGCGCCACAGAGAGGTTCGCCTGGTGCCTATGCTTCTTTCTTTTCAGCGTCAGGTGAAAACCTTTTTATTCTCCCATTATTTTAATGTATAATTATTTTCAATGTGTTTTATATTGCATGCTGTGCTATTTTTATTTTCTATTTTACTTGTTGTGTGTTGCAACCCATCCAGAGATGCTAGTATAGGGATGGTATATAAAGCTTTGCATAAATAAATAACAAATAAATATATAGCGCATGTGTTACGAGAGAAGGAAGTACGAGCCCTGGGCGCCCTGAGTCAAGACAAGCACTGAGAGCTGCCAAGAGGGTGGACTATTTGAAAGCAGTTTGACCTTCACTCAGACCAGCTGCTACCAGATCAAGGAGCCAGGTGTGAGTCTGGCTTTATGGGCCCGGTGGGACTCCTTTAGTTATGTCTGACAACCGCTGAGCTAGAAAATCTCCGAGCATACGTTTCATATTCTAAAGGGTCTAAGTCTGCTGATGGACTGATTGAATCCAGAGGACTTTGGAAGGTTCCAGTCACTTAGGTGGCCCTTCTGCACATGCATGCATACCAGGGAAAGTTCACGGGGCTAGCAAAGTCTTCCCATTTCATGATAAAGCCTGCAATACTCCGTTAAATATTGGCTTGCCTATCTCATCGGGTTATGTGAAATATTGAGACCTTATTGTGAGTTCTGTGGGACTGGAACTTGGGAGATCTGGGTTCTAGTCGTCCCTCAGCCAAGAGGGTCACCGCGGGACTTCGGGCTTGTCATAGCCTCTGTAACTAGCCTACCTCACAGGGTTGTGGTTGTGAGGATAAAATGCAGGGAGGAGAGCCTTTGAAGCTCCCTTGGGTTTCCCGTAAGAGGAGAGAGTTGGGCATCAGTTTAATCTGATAATGATCATCATAATGCTAGGAATAGGGCATCACAAAATGGCTGTGATGGTAGGCAGGGCCAATCACAAGACACACATTTTCCAGAAGGTACCTGGCATGATCTAAAGCCCAGCAGCTCCTCTCTGCTCCCCACACACGAAACTCACAGACGCAAGGCAGGGATGAAGTCCTGGTTCCAACAGACAAAACCACTTTGGAAGCCAATTAAAGATGGTCCTGGGGGGAGAGAGCACTTTGCTTTGCAGCATGGCAACCTCCCATGATTTTTTAAAAATTATCTTAGGAAATAAAACTGGAACCAGGAGGGGCAGGAAGCCTATTGAAGAGATCACAATGAAGACCCCATATTCCAGCAGGAATTCACCAACACATCCATCTGAAAAGGAATCCGGCATTGTTTATTTTTTATGCCTGTTTTTCTCAGTCCCCACCAGAGAGCAACCAATTGGTCAGCTCTGCTGGGAACCACACGCACACACAGTCCTACAACGTGGGCGCGATACAGAACCCTCTTCTTAAAAGTAGCAGAGACATGAAAAGTGAACAGCGAGCATCCAACAGCGTCTGGACAAAATGCAATGCCAAAAACCTGGAGCGAATCCTGAAGGCGGAAGCTCGGATAGGGAAATGGCAAGCGCTGTGCCAAGCAAACGCACCGCAGACGCGCCGCTTTCAAGATGTCTGGGGAGCCATGCAGTGAAAGAGAGTCAGGTAAAGGTCACTGGGCCATAGGAGGCTGCCGTGAAGAGGATGACTCTCCCGAGCACCGTTTAATCATCAGCCACCCATGGAAAATGCCTGCCCCAGCCTGCTGCCCTCCAGGTTTGCACAAGCCATGCCAGCTGGGGTTGATAGGAGCTGTAGTCTAATCCATATGCCCTAGGGAGCATCCTTGCAGGCAGCCAGGAACATTTTCTCTTGCTCTTTGGGTGAGAGAAAAGAGAAACATACAAACCCATTTGAAATGGCCCAGTTCATTGCATCAAGATGGCTGCCCCGCTCAGAGCAAACTGGGGAAAGGAAGGGAGCCCGTGCGGAGAAGCTGAGTTGAGATGAATCCATGTGGGAGCCCTGGAGGGCCCATGGCTAGAATATTGGCTTGGGACTCGGGAGATCTGGGCCATGCCCCACTCAGCCATGAAGCTCCCTGGGCGACTTTTGGAGACCACATGCACCTATTGCCAGTGGCTTATTTTAATTACTGTAAGAAAAACGTGTTGTTGATTTTCTTTTATATGGTTTTCTTTGCAAAAGAACATAAAAGAAGTCCTGCTGCATCCTACCAAAGGACTGTCTAGCCCAGGGCTCCGGACACACGGGGGCAGCCCAGCTGCCCACAGGATCGCCCAAGCAGGGTGGGCGTGGACCTCCTCCTGCCCAGCCCCTCGGCCACTGGGGCGTGCAGGCACGACCTCTGCTAAAGGAGGCAGCCCATGGCCAGCAGGGCTAGTAGCCACACGTGCCTCCTCCCACACGCACCTGTCCAATCCCCTTTTAAAGCCCTCCAGATTGGCAGCCGCCACCACCTCCCACAGCAGCACATTCCAAACTTCAATGATACACCCTTTGCCGAAGGACTTCCTTTGTTTTGCTGAAGCTCGCGTTTCAGAATCAGGAATTTAAAGGAGACTTTGGGCCAGTCAGTGATTCTCAACCTAGCCTACCTCACAGGACTATTGTGAAGATCAAGTAGAGAGGAGAGGGCACTCCACTTTATAATGCGCCCTGGAGGAAAGGAAAGGAGGCACTTAGCCATCGAAGGAGCTTCCTTTCCACCATGCTCTGCTGTTCCTGAGCAGAGCGGAGTGATGCTAAGAGAAGGATGCGTTTAAATGTCCCTTCCTCACAATAGTTCCATGACGAGGCTTTTTGAACAGTCCTCCAAATTTGCCAGACATTTTGTGCAAATGTTTCCATTCAATATGTGGGGCTTCTGAAAATAAAGCTAGCTGAGAGCCTGCTTGTGACGAGGCACACTGGCGGGATCAGCCTCGAGCGCTCCTTCGCCCTGACCGTCCCCTCTGCAGGGGCAGCTGTGGGATTTGTGCTTCCATATGGCGCTTGTTTCAGACCACTTATCTATAAGGGATGGCAGCAGGCACGATCCGAGAACTGCAAAGGCGGCAGCTTTCCGCACAGCAGGATGTGCAAAATGCGCAGATGAAAATTGTGGCAATGAGGAGCACCAGGGTTAATGGATTGCAAAGGAACATCTTTCTGAACCAGGGTGCCTGAAATGTCTTTTCTCGGAGCGGGGGGAAGAGGTCGGCAGATTTCCAGACAGGAATGCTTGACGACCAATATGAAGTTCTTGTTTGCCTTTTGTTCTGTTCAAACATATTTTGATGAGAAGAGAATTAGTGCTAGTCTTTGTTCTGAGCAGGTACCCAAATTTTGTACAACACTGGTCGCATGTAAGTGTGGGGAGGAGGCAGGGAGAGAGGGGAGTAAGAAGAAAGGAAGGAAGATTTTAATTTTAATTTGCTGTGTTCCTGAAAGTCATGGCAAAGAATAAGGTTACAGCCACAATCCTATTACAAGGCAGAACATCCCAAAAGACATTATGGACTCTCGGTAGACTGCAGAGCTCCAGCTTAAGAAGCTTCCGCAAGGTCAGCTCAAATCAGCATCAGAGCCACCCAACTTTTGGGACTGCTACGAATTGTAGGAACCTGCGTGTACTCCTGTGCGTTTGTTTGTTCGTTCCCACGCGGACGATGCTTGCAAGGCTGAGTGAGAGCAAGCGGCGAGTCGCTCGGTTTCGGCGAGGGACGGGCTGCCAGCGGCGGCGCGCGGAACTGTCCAGGGTGCTGCACGGGGCTCCCCGCCTGCTCGTGGCCGGCGAAGTCCTGCTCCGCCCGGGCCCCGGGCTCCCGGCGGGCCCCGCTGCGTCTCTGCCACAACCCAGTGACCGCCAGACCACGCAGCTGCTTCTGGTATCGCACCACAGCTCGAGTTCTCACGGGGCAGCTGGCGGAGGGCACTTGAAAGCCCTCCTTGTTGGAACTCTGGGGATCATCAGCCATCCGGCCCCTGAGCTGCTGCTGCATAAACCAGACTAAACAGGGACTGTTTATCCCTAACATTTCTGAAACAGTCTATTGAATCAAGGCGGAGGATTTCAATTAGAGCTGAGAGACCTTCCAAATTCCTTTCCCTGGAGCATGTTCTGTAGCTCGCTCATATTAACTGTACAATAATGATCATTATAGATTTATAGGAGAGTTGCTTCCTTGGTTGCTCATTGTGACTTGTGGCATTACGGCTCCAGACCATTAGATTCTACGCCTAATAGGTCTCTGCGAACCAGAGATAATTAAGTCTAATCAATATGCATATTTATTAATGTATTATTTCATTATATCCTGCCTTCTCTCCCCTTACAATATGCCTCTCTCTTTCATCCTTGCAGCAGCCTTGAGGGTCAGCAACTGCCCCAAAGGCAACCAACGAGCTTCATGACTGACTGGGGATTCGAACCTGGATCTCCTGAGTCCCAGTCCAACACACTAACCACTGCACCACTGGATCCTGGTTTGCCAGCCTTGCACTGTGCCGACTCACTAGGATGTGAGTCGAACCAGCTTGCAGCATATTTTTTAAAAGCCAAAGAAGTTTGGGCAAGTATCACAGTTTGCATCTTCAGGCTCTGTGGAGTATTGAAGAAATGTTTATTCATCACCTCTCAAAAAGAAAAGACCCTTAAAATACTCTGCATTATAGGCATGCCCATTTCTTCTCCAGCTTTCCCAGGTCTGGGCCTATTTCTTTGTGTCACAAGGAAGGCAAGCAGCCCAAGAGGGCCAGATGACAGATAGCCCAGGATCCTGTGGGAGTCAGTGGGGTTCTCCTGGTCTCCCCCTGGTGTATAGGTCTGCAGCCTGCATCTTCATCAGGGATGTTTGGGGCTTGCAGCAGGAAATCCAAAGGACCTGACCTCCTTGCTCCCCTGCAGCAAAAACGACAAAACTCGGATTGTTAGACTTTGAGCACATCATGAGAAGGCAAGACACCCTAGAGAAGGCACCCATGCTAGGAGGGGGAGGGGAGGGGAGGGGAGGAGGAGGAGGAAGAAGAGGAGGAGGAAGATGACCGTCCCCATGTACAAGATGAACTGACTCCATAAATCAAGCTGCAGCCTTGAATTTACAAGGAGTAAGCAGGGCTGTCATGGCTAGGGCATGTTGGGGTTGGGGGCTACATTCACAGAGTCACCATAAGTCAGAGCTGACTCGATGGCACGTAGCAACGGCAGCAAAATCTCTTCATTGGGGAAGAGGGTAATGGAGTGCATCTTGTCGAAGGACCTTCAAAAGCCCAAAGAAACCAGTCACTGAATGTGTCGGAGAGGTAACATTCTCCTAGATTTTAATTGTAGCTCAGCCTGAGAAATCTTCTGAAGAACACACTCTCCTGCATTACATCTTTCTTTCATTCTTTTGTGTTGGCAAAGATTTTTGGTCCCAGAAGAAGGGATTTTCAAATTATGGACATGATGGAGAAAGATTACATACAGCAATAAATGGTTCCTGGTTTTCTGTATCTTATCCATAATTTAGCACAGCAAAGGATTTGAAGCATGCATTTTTAGTGAGAGGCCCAATTTATAAATTTAGAGCCACTCACTTGATGAATGCCCACTTGCTGTGGGACCTCCATTCAGCGCATTGAATTAGGCAGACTGAAAATGCTAATTAGGCAGACTGAAAATTCCATCCTGTGGAAGGTCTGGAAACTGCCTTTATTTGATAAGGAGCCATTTGCAGTAGCAAGGCAGTAATGATGCCTACCTCTTCATTTTGATAATTAGCGTTAACGCTGCAATGCAGGCTCCAGGGCTCAGGAGTGCTTCCCTCACAACTAACACAGGCATTGTCCTTAATCTCAGAAATTCTGCATTTGACAGGGAAAGAAATCAAAAGAAAACTGCCAGAGATTCTTTGCATATCCTTCCTGTTTCCACCAAGCAGTGAAAGCCAGAGATCCTGGGTTTGTTCCCCTGAGGATAAGGAGGTGAGGAAATCCAGCTGGAATTAATTAATCCCTTGGATCCAGTATGAGCCCTGAGGAATTCTTCAAGGCTTCCAGCCCCTCCCAGACTGAGGGACCGGCTTGGAGCTCTCTGCTTCTATTTTCCCCCCTTTACATTTATATTGGGGATAAGGTCATTCCACAGTCAGATTCCAGCACCCATCATCCTTGACCATTGGTGAGCTGCCTGGGGCTCCTGGGAGTTGGAGGAGGGCTAATTCCAAAGCCCCAAAGGTGAGCACAAGCACGCATCTGCCCAGATCGGTTGGATGTGTGTTCACGCGTTCTGGTTCTGTCCTGGCAGCTGTTGGCCAGCCCTTGACCAGCTGTGCAAGCTGCCAGCCTGAACCTGGACGCAATTCACAGTGCTGGGATTAATGCCTCAAGCCCCAGATGGCTTTGGCAGGTGGCCTGAATCGTTGCTCTCCCACAGGAACCTGCCCAGCCCTTGAGGTCATTCGCAGAGCTCCCCAAGGAAGTGAGGTGGCCGGCTGCTAAGGGAAGGGTCTTTCCAGCTGTGGCACCCCTGGCTGGGACTCGCCAAAGCCGCCTCCAAAAGAGGCTTTGAAACCTGCCTCTTCATGAGGGCTTGGGGGAAATGGCAAGATCTTTCTTTTCCAGCTCGTGTTTTGTTTTCCTTCTCTGATTTATAGTCTTAATTCTCATGGC